CAAAGCACTGCTTTACATTTGTGTGACAGGACAGTCAGTATCCTGCTCTCCAAGCCACTTGTTTTTAGAAGGAGGAAGAAAGCCTGCGGTTGTGTTATGAAATCATTTCCAATTAGGTAGATGGTATCTTCAACTCCATCAGGTAAGTTTGGGTTGTCTTTACATGTGTGGCTTTCATTTCATAGATGTTCAGTACTGATTTTAGTCTTTCCACTTCACTTTTATGTAGTGTTCTTATTCACAGAACAGCCAATCTGTGTCTTAGGAGTCTTAGATGACTCCTAAGTTTTGGCCCCTTCCTTTCTGGTGGCAGTAATTTCCTGAGGCAATTTCTGTGCTCTTCTGCAGTGGTATTTAGAAGATTATCACATTCCTTATAACAAACCATAATTGCTGGAAGAGATGGGCTGTAGCCACGTATCTCAGTATTTACTTCAGTACTAGAAGGCAGTCAATAAACCTGCATAGAATATGGTGGCTTGATTTAACCCAGAATTTTAGCTCTAATTATTCGAGTATTTGCATGTCTTTATTGAGGCATCTATTTCCTTTTCTTTAATCCTGGCCTTTTTTGTTCTTTTTAATCAAGTTCCCTGGAAGTAATGCACTGGAGAGAGGCTGTTCTTCTTTATGCAGAGCTCATTCTTTGGGTTTTTCTTCTTTCTGTCTGCAAGATGCAAAATGCGTTACAATCCTGTAATCTAAGCTCTTGTTATTGGGGCTTGGTAAATCAGTTTGACATCTAGTTGAGTGTCTGAGATGTCATCATTGAAGTTTGACTGTCTTTTCAAGTTAACTTTTAAATATATCGAAGCCATTCTGCAGTTTTTCAGACTTCAACTTCACACATTAACGCAGCACATCTTCCATGACAGGAAACATCAGATATTTTCAACTAATCATGTTCTGGTTTTGCATTTTTCTTAGTGTTAATAATAATTTCTGCATTTAAAAACTGTACAGTGACAGGACAAGCAACCTGTCAACCTTGTTCACTCTTAATTCTGCATTCAAGAGTTTATCATAGGTGAATCAATGCATATCCATCCGTTACTTCTATTTTTACATTATCGTTAAGAGCGAAATCTCATCTTAGATCATTAAATCATACAAAAATCTCGCTGAAGCCAGTGAGAGTTTTGCTTTACCTGACTATTAAAGTATTTGAGAAGGAATGTAATGCTTGTGGATTGGAGAGGCTAATTGTGTAGGCTTCAGGTTTGTTCTGAGGGCAGGTAATGTCTGGCAGTATTTTTTGTGCTGGGTCTGCATCTGCTAGCAGCCGTTGTGGCTGTTCCAGCCTTTGATTTTGTGTAAAAATATGTGTCACTGTTCACAGAACCATAGAATGGCTCACCCCCACTCTTCACCTACAAACAACCCCCCTCTCCCCCCCCAAAAAACAGCCAACAAAAACAAAAAAAAGGCCTTTTAGAATCAAAAGCAAGAAGTTAACTTTGGATTTGCATCTCTGGGACTCAGGGTGTGGGTTGCTTGTCTGGTACTGAACTACAGACTTGTGGGCTAGCACTTAAAAACTGCTGTGATATTGGCTACCAGTCTTTTGAGGCCCTTTATTCTTCTGAGGTGCCAAGCTCTTACATCCCTACGCCTGGAGCTTCCATATGGACACTGGGTTCAAGGTGTCTTCAGTCAGATACTCAGTTTTACAAAGTTTTTGAAAACACTGATCATAGAATCCAAAGCATATGTCATGGTCCATAGATCTTTGTAAGCTCAATTTGTGAGGACCAAGATTGGAGAACAAAAATGATGATATATTTCCATGTGCAGGCTCAAATAGTAATAGAGGTATCATTACCCTGGTGGGCCTGCTTTTAGAGGAGAAACATCACATGATGTTATTTTAGAAGAACACTATGTAGGTTAATTGTTGGAAGATGTTTACACAGCTTCTAAAATGGCAGATTTATGCTCTGTAACAACCGAACGGACATGCCAGGAGCTCACCATTGCCCCTCAGCTCCGTCTGGCCAGGAGTGCTTCCAAGACTGGACTTTTCCTGCTGCTGTAAGGAGGAACAAAAATGTATACTAAAATAAGAGAAAGAAGTGCTGAATCACTTTTTTTCAATTAAGGCTTCATAAAAAAGTCTTTTTAATCTTAGTAAATGCCCTGGTGTCTGATTTTCTGTATTTATACTTATTTTAATACCCCCTCTTAAGGCCAATAAGAGCTAAGCATGTAAATTCCCAGAGAACTGATGAAAAAAAGCAATCCCCTTCACTTAAATGTAAAAATAAACCATTTGGCATGTTTATGCAGAAAAGAATCTCATAAATTATTGCAGGTTTTTTTTTCCCCTCTGTCATCTAGTACTTTCTTAGCTAGGTTGAAGGCATGCACAGCTTTCTGCTTGCATTTTTTTTCTTTGAAGTGATGGTGAATATATTCATTAATTTAGAACAAAAAATCTGCTAATTTGTTACTTGTCTTCTGTTTCAAATGGATGATCTAAAAGGCTGAAAGTACTTCTTTATTTGGTGCAGTGGTACTTGCAGTTTGTTGTGAGGGAAATAATCTCTCTAAGATTTTTAAGGAGTGTTTTCCTTCAACAAAATCTCCAGGTCACAGCTTGTCCAATTACATGCAGAAGAAGGCAAGGAGACAGAGCTAGTCTGGGGAGCTTTCTTTTTCAGCAGCAAAGTTTGCATTTCTTTTAATGTAGTTAAAACATTTGACAGGAGAGAGTAGGGTTTAGTGATGTGAGGTGATTTCCAAATGAGTGTTAGCTTTTTACTGACCTACTTTTGACTAGTGGTGTATTCTTGTCCGTTACTTTTTGTCATTGAGTAATGCTGATATATTAAGCTGTGTGCTTCAAGGGCATTGTAGAATTGCATGTAGGGGCATGACTGAACTGTGAAAGTGCGAATTACTCTATCAGATCATACCCAATTAAAAAGTGACAAGCACAGCAGGAGCAATTGAAAGCAAGGTTTATCTTTCATGTAACATAAGAAGTCACTATATCGGTTAGAAACAAAGTGAGTGTGAAACAGATTCTCCACCTCTTCTCATCCCTCTTCAAAAATTAATAATATCTGCTGACTTTATTATCCAAAAGAATAAGCTCCTGAGTTGAAACAGCTCATGTTGAAGGATATTATGACAATAGCAAGCGAAGGGGAAGTACAGCAGCCATACACCTTTAAGCTATCTGCTATCAAAGCATGCACTGGCCCTCAGGTCAGCACGCTGGGGACTGGCTGATAGGGAGTTTGGAAAAAGTGGTGGTATTTTATATAAAGCTGTAGTGTGTCATTAAAGGAAAGCTTGCAGTCTTGCAGGCTCTCCACAGTTCCGCAGGAAGCGTAGGAATAAAAGCATGGTAAAGAAACAGAGAACTTCTGGTAAGTCCTGTAGTCATTAGAGAACTGTTACAAACTGAGGAAACTTTTTCAGTCTCCAGTGCCATTATCCTTATGTAACCTTTTGCATAACATTCATCAGCACTCTTCTCACGGTGAGATGGGTCTGTGAATATACAAATGAATGCAGTTGTCTATGTAAAATACAATCTTCCAGAATCCTGCTGGCTCAAGATGTGTTGCAGAACCTATTGTGACAGTGAACCTGGATTAAGGATGTTACAACATTGTGGTGCTTTCCAGAGTACTAGGGTTGTGGTGTTTTATTTTGGTTGGTTGGTTGGTTGCTTTTGTCATCATTTGTAGGGTTTTGGGGATGTTGCTATTCTGATAAAATCTCTTTCAAATTAAATACCCTCCCCCTCCAAGTAAATTACCTTTGCAAAATGTGTCCTATATATGCTATTAGGATGCGGACTGCTTAAGTGATGTGTAACTGCTGTGTGACCAGGTAAATACCACTGTCTGCAGACAGTTGATGTTAGGTTGACTCTGATGCTCACTGCTAATGGTAATACCCATGCGGCTTCATTTAGTGAAATCCTCTGTGTGTATGTGTGTGTGAACAGAACTTTAGCACAGCTGATTTGGTTAATGCTGAGTTTTCAGATTAGGCTTTAGTGTGTGACATTTTATTTTGTGCTGGGAAAAAAAAAAAAGAGCGAGGACAGGGGAGTGAGAAATATGAAGTATTTGATATGTGTAAAATGTGCTTGGAGGTATTATTGTATTGTAGGGAAGACAGGGGGAGACGGATGGTTACATTGACAGGGTACCTCATCCATGTAGCAAGCTTTGCCCGTCAAAACAGTGATTGTCTGTAGAATGCATTTTAATGTAAAATGCATGTTTAACTGATGTACAACGAGTTAAGAGTTTAAAACTGACCAACTGGTTTATAATCTCTTACTAGACTAGGAGTTGGCAAGCAGCTATTAGGGAGGGGAAAAAAAGTTATCGTAATGTGAAAAGAGTTATTCTCTAAAAGCCTCCTGTTTCCTGGAGGGGATTTACCTTTTCCCCCACTCATACCCACAATGGAGGACCAAGTGTCATCCAGAGGAATGGCTTTATTGTTGTGTGTTATGATGAGTGGTTTATTGGAGTTTCTTCTGAGAGAAGTAGTAGGGACTCATGCAGGCAGTATCTAGGTACCCAGTTTAAAAACAAACAAACCAACCCAAAATGCCAAACCACAAATCCCATCACAAATCCTAAAACAGTCTTTAGCAGTAACTCTTTCTATTCTATACTGTTTTGGTTCTATCAAAAGAAGTTTGATACAAGATTCGTAACATTCGAAAGGACTCTTGTGCGTGGACTGACAGTTAAGCTTCCTTGCTTCTCCTGATGGTAAAGGGGAGGACCTAGGTGTGTGGGATTTACAAGATATATTAATGCAGTACGGATACAATAGACTGTCAAGAAAAACAGGGAGAAGACACCCACACTGCAATTTGAATATGGAAAAGATTAATGGAATTACAGTTTCAAAGTGATATATATATATATATATATATATATATAAATAAAACCTGTGGATAAGAAATGAGTTGGTTAAAAACTGTACAGTAATACCATTACCTAACTTTAACTTTTATTTTGCAGTCACCAGTGTAAAAGAAAATGCTGAAAAGTATATGGAGATACTGGAGGATAAACTGCATAGGTAAGGATGATTATTATGGAAACATTTGTAAGCTTAAAAATTCTTGTTAATACAGCACTGATATGCATAAAAGTGTTCAGGTATGTTTTGTAACTTGTGTTAGTATAATACAAAAAATGGTTCAAAGCTGGAAACCCTGTAAGTGTTATTGTTAAGATCTCTGTGGCTGTGCTCAGCAGCTTTGCCACCAGCCTGCCAGTGGATGCAGGTAAAAGAAAAATCACTGTGTTCTCAAGTGTGTAGGACTGCTCTGAAGCAGTGGTAGGATGGCCGGAGAAAAGGGAGCTCATGTATGGTTGGTGTGCATTGCTCAAGCTCTGGTCGGGTGGCCGAAGAAAAAGGATCACACATACGGTTGGTGTGCATTGCTCCAGCTCTGCCTGCAGGTGCTTTAATTGGTAGTGTGAGCTCTTGAACATCCAGAAGCCCTGAAGTATTTGGGATGTGACAGCTGGTTGAAAAATCACTCATCTGTTCTTATGCAAAACCCAGCTCTGAGCAGAGCCAAGGAATCCCATACTAGAATTCTGGGCATCTTTAACAAGTAATGAGTCTTTATATAACAGTTTTGAAAGGATGCCATTTTGGGTGATTGTGGAAAACAAATAGAAACCAAGACAACAATGAAGATATTTTAAGAACTGAATCCTAATGCAGAATTTGCTTATTTTTATGCCTTTTCTTTTTTTGCCTGCTGCCTTTTTTTCCTTTTTTTTTTTTTTGTCCCCAAATGCTAGCATTTGCATGTCTTTCTCTTACTGTGTGAAAGGGGCTCTAGATCACCCCTTAAATTTTAGGCTACTCCTTGAAATAGGCTTAGCAAATGTTGCAGTGCTGTTATAATGAATATTTTACATTAGTGGATTTTGCCTTGTTGACCTCATTATTTTTGGTTGTATATTTATAAAAAGAGGTTTCTAGATATTTAGATTTAATCACTCATACTTTTGAATATGGAAGTATTTATTTTGCATAACTCTTAAATTTAAAAGCAATTTAGTGCTAAGTGAAAAATGATGGAAACAGACCTCAAGATCAAGTTGAGTGACTGTGTGCTGCCTAACCCCCTCTTAATATCATTTTACTTCATGACATAGTTTAGCGGTGAGCTTGGCAGTCCTGGGATAATGGTTGGACTTCATGATCTTAGAGGTCTTTTCCAACCTAGCCGATTCTATGGTTCTATATACTCCAATCCATAAGCGTAAGACAAGTCTTAAGAACATTCTGAGGGTTGTTGTTTTGAAAACCATACTCTTTATTAAATATAATATTAAAAGTAATGTTTTAATAGTAAAATCTAATGTATAACAACATGTATTGATGCTTCTAGTCTGCAGAGATTCAATTGACTTATCAGGCTTCCGGAAACAAGTAAATTTCTCTGTAACTATTAAATACTTGGAGAATCTGTATGTTTTCCCACCACCACCTTCCAAAGATTCAGTAGATAGTCTCTGCAGCTGTTACTTGTTTTAATTTATTTATGCCTTTTTGTGTAATTTTTGGGTTGTCTACCTGGACTTTTCTGCAGCAGTATTTTGTATTACTACACATTTTTGTGTATCTTGATAGGTGTTGTTAATGACCTTGCAGCATGTTTTTTTCCACTCTTCCTGCTATTTCTGGGAGACATTTCCATGCTGAACTGCTGGTATTCATCCTACTTCTGTGAAAAGTATCTTTTCAGGGGAATGATTAAAAGTTAAACCCTCTTTTTGGCACTATTTGGAACCATATTTTGATGAACAGTAGATGACCATTTCAAAGTTCCCTTAGAAGATGAAAGAATTGTAAAATATTGTAATATAATTTGTTGCTTTTGTATGCAAGGGTTGCCTTTCTGAATACCCCATAGACCTGGGCCTCAGTCTAGGTTCTCTATTGCAACCAGGCTTCAAAGGTTTGCTGTTAACTGTTCATCCAGCCTTTGCTGAGGACACAAATGCACGAAGTCAAAGTGTATCACTGCAGCTGTACATGCAGTTCAAGATGCAGTTCAGGGCTCACCATCAGCTTCTGTAACAGACTGTTGTGGTGTTGCCAGGCTTTCTAAAATTTTTCATCCTTCTCTTAAGAATTAAAAATAAATAATAAAAAGCCCCAAACAGCACCCCCCAACAACAATGAAACCCCCTAAAACTCACCAAATAAACCCAAACCAAACTCCTCAAAAACTCACTGTAGTGCTGGCCAAGCTCCCAGATGGTGAAGATTGAGTCCTGTAACAGCGTGACAGTTTTTCAATATGTTCAGATGCTATTATTCTAAAAATAGTTTATCCCAAGTAATTAAGGGAAGAGAATTTCTTTTAATATTGGTGGAAAGAGAAAATCTCTGATATTTTTGACAAAAAGAAGTCTCTAAGATATTCCATCATTAAAATCCCTTTGTATTTATGCTAATAGATTTGTCATAGCTACTTGTTTTTTAAAGGTTCTTTGGACTTCAAGTAATTAACTACACCTGCTATACAGCTTGAGTAATTAAAAAAAGTAAGCAAGAGCTCAAGAGGCTTCCTCCCCTCCAAGCACCTCCCCTTACAGAAATAACTTGAGAAACTGTTTCTTTTTGTTTGGTCTTCATATAGGTGCCCAGATTACTCCTTTCACAGAATCACAGAATCCTAAGGGTTGGAAGGGACCTCAAAAGATCATCTAGTCCAACCCTCCTGCAAGAGCAGGGTAACCTAGAGTACATCACACAGGAACTTGTCCAGGCGGGCCTTGAGTACCTCCAACGTAGGAGACTCCACAACCCCCCTGGGCAACCTGTTCCAGTGCTCTGTCACTCTCACAGTAAAGAGATTTTTCCTGATGTTCACATGGAACCTCCTATGCTCCAGTTTACACCCACTGCCCCTTGTCCTATCACTGGACATCACTGAAAAAAACCTAGCTCCATTATCCTGACACTCACCCTTTACATATTTGTAAACATTGATGAGGTCGCCCCTCAGTCTCCTCTTCTCCAAGCTAAAGAGTCCCAGCTCCCTCAGCCTCTCCTCATAAGAGAGATGTTCCACTCCCTTAATCATCTCTGTAGCTCTGCGCTGGACTCTTTCAAGCAATTCCCTGTTCTTCTTGAACTGAGGGGCCCAGAACTGGACACAATATTCCAGATGCGGCCTCACCAAGGCAGAGTAGAGGGGGAGGAGAACCTCCCTTGACCTACTAACCACACCCTTTCTAATGCACCCTAGGATGCCATTGGCCTTCTTGGCCACAAGGGCACATTGCTGGCTCATGGTCATCCTCCTATCCACCAGGTCCCTTTCCCCTTCGCTACTGTCCAGCAGGTCAACCCCCACCTGTACTGGTACATGGGGTTGTTCTTCCCCAGATGCAAGACTCTACATTCACCCTTGTTGAATTTCATCAAGTTCCTCTCTGCCCACCTCTCCAGCCTGTCCAGGTCTCGCTGAATGGCAACACAGCCCTCTGGTGTGTCAGCCACTCCTCCCAGTTTAGTATCATCAGTGAACCTGCTGAGGGTGCATTCAGTTCCCTCATCCAGGTCATTGATGAAAATATTAAACAGCACTGGTCCCAGCACCGACCCCTGAGGGACTCCACTGGTCACAGACCTCCAGCTAGATTCTGCCCCATTGACCACAACTCTCTGCCTTCTTCCTTCCAACCAGTTCTTGATCCACCTCACTACCTGATCATCAAGCCCACACTTCCTTAGCTTATCTATGAGGATGCTGTGGGAGACAGTATCAAATGCCTTACTGAAATCAAGAAAAACCACATCTACCACTCTACCATCATCCATCCACCTAGTTACCTGCTCATAGAAGGCTATAAGGTTGGTCAAACATGACTTCCCCTTGGTAAAGCCATGTTGGCTGCTCTTAATGACCCCCTCATCCTTGATATGCCTAGAGATGGTGTCAAGAATAAGTTGTTCCATCACCTTTCCAGGGATGGAGGTAAGGCTGACCGGTCTGTAATTACCCGGGTCCTCCTTCTTGCCCTTCTTATAGACCGGCCTGACATTTGCCATCCTCCAATCCTCAGGCACCTCTCCTGTTTCCCACGACTTACCAAAGATGATGGAGAGTGGCTCAGCAATGACCTCCGCCAGCTCCCTCAGCACCCGTGGGTGTATTCCATCCGGACCCCTCGATTTATTGATGTCCAGATTACTTAACTGATTCCTAACCCAATCCTCATCCACCAAAGCAAATTCCTCCTTTATCTTGACTCCTTCCGGGGCTATAGGAATCTGGGTCCCCTGGGGAGAGTCTGCAGGAGTAAAGACAGAGGCAAAGAAGGCATTCAGCACCTCTGCCTTCTTTATATCCTCTGTCTCCAGGGCACCCACCTAGTTCAGTAGTGGGCCTATATTGCTTCTTGTGTTAGTTTTATTCGCTATGTGTTTGAAGAAGCCCTTTCTATTGTCCTTGACCCGACTTGCCAGATTAAGTTCCAAGGAGGCCTTAAGTGTCCTAATTGCTTCCCTACATCCTCTAACAGCTATCCTATATTCCTTCCAAGTGGCCAGCCCCTCCTTCCATAATCCATAGATTCTCTTTTTCCATATGAGTTTGCCCAGCAGTTCCTTGTTTAACCATGCTGGTCTCCTGGCTCCCCTACTTGACTTCCTACTCACTGGGACACTCTGATCCTGAGCTTTGAAGAAGTGGTTCTTGAATGCTGACCAACTGTCTTGACCCCCTTTACCACCTAGTACCCTTTGCCATGATACTTCCCTTAGCAATTGATTGAAGAGGCCAAAGTTTGCCCTTCGGAAATCCAGAAATGTGGCCTTGCTAGGTATTCTATTCCTCCCACACAAGATCCTAAACTCCACCATCTCATGGTCACTGCAGCCCAGGCTGCCATTGACCGTCACTTCAACCAGACCCTCCTTGTTTGTGAGTACCAGATCCATCAGTGCCCCTCTCCTAGTTGGTTCGTCCACCATTTGCATTAAGAAGTTATCATCAATGCACGGAGGAACCTCCTAGACTGTGAATGACTGGCTGTGTAAGT